TGCCCTCCTCATCCCTCAGGGGCTTTCACCTGCTCCACCTGCCCCAGTCCCCCCAGCTGGGATCCAGCTGCTGACCTCCAGCTGCATTTGCTGACGCTGCCTCAGGGCCCTTGCACTGCTGTTCCTTCTGCATTGCTCAGGCTCTCACTTCCTTGGGTCTCAGCTCAGGGGTCTGCTCCTCAGGCAGCCCCTCCCTAACCTCCTGCTCCGAATTATCTCCCACCTTTCCCACAGACACACACTGCGCCCCCACTCACTAAGAATTTTTTTTCTATAACATATCACTACTGGCATCGCACTGTATAACAGTTTATTTGATGACTCTTTCTTCCTCCCAGGAGGGCAGAGAATCTGCCCTGACCCACAGCTCCATGGCTGCTCCTTGGACCTCCCAGCCTGGAATGGGCATTGCAGGGGCCACCATCACAGTAGCTGAGTGACTTGAGACAACCTCATTTCCTTTCTGTGTCGCTGTCCTCTGTCTGTAATGGTACCACTGGGTTTCCACGACGTGCAGCAGAGGACTTTGTGTCATAGGCCCCCTGGGCATTCTGACCTGAGCAGCCTCCTTAGCCAGCAAGGTGCCTACTGTGTTGATCCAGGATGACAGGAAGCCACGCCTCTCCAGATGCCTGCAAGTCCTTGGGTCTCCAAGAAGGGCATGAATGTTGTCTGGCCGGGTTGTGGACAAGCCTGAGACAGGGTTATGCGGGTCAGGGAGAGAGTGGGAAGTCCCAGCCCCTTCCCTTCCTGGAGTGCGGGTCATCTCAGCACAAAATCCCTGGCGGCCCTTGAGGTTGAGGGAGTGGGGGAGTGGGGAGGAGGACCATTGCTGTCACAGGAAGGTCACAGCCTCAGCCTTGCAGAGTGGTCCAGGTCCACAGAGGGTCCAAGAGTTGAGCCTTCTTTACTGCCTGGAGGTGAAGTTCTAGCAGAGGGGCCCAGGTGGGTCTCTGGGGTTGGCGGTTCGGATGGGACTCAGGGGTGGGGACTCTGAGGTGGCAGTTCCAGTGGGGCGTGGGGACGGATCGCGGCGGGGAGCAGAAGACCTCACAGCAACCACT